CTCCTATTTCTAGGCTTTTGCAGCTAAACAACAGACCGGCTACTGCCCTTAAGAGAAGTCTGGAAGATTCAATATTCTTAAACTTTTGATCTAAATAAACTACTTGATACTAGACAACTTGTCTCCATCTTTCATAAACTTTGTATACAAGAGGCTACAGATTGGACTGCTACTGTTTAGAGATAAGTAAGAGACCAAGTTTCTTTAAAACTATTCTTTTGAGCTGATGGCTACAAATACTTACGAAGATACGGAATATACTTCAAGGTCACCAAAGGTAATCCTAAGAACATGCCTACAGGTTTAACTGTACTGAGGCTGATTCCTCCCCTAGAAAATTTTTACATCTTCAAAACCAGAAAGGAAATCTCTAAAACAGAAGTTGGAGGGGGGGAGATGGAATAAGTCATCACCATCGATGATGTTTGTTTCCTACTAAATTTGTGTACCTACCTCCATCTCATCCCAGCACATAATGTACTGGTTGCTATGTGATAACCTCAAAGACATACAGCTTCCCAAAACAATGGGCACTTTCCTTCACCATGGAATCATTCACTTTCTGATATTATTTCTGTTTTCCTGCTGCAACACAATACAAAATCAGTTTGTTTTAGAAATGTAAAAAAGCTTTCTCTTCGCTGAGGAACAAAGAATAATGAAACAAAGGTGCAGATCAATGGAATGAATAGCGCAAGTCCACCTGATAGGGAAAAAAAATAAGCAAGAGAGATAACAAGTCTCAGTAAGTAATAACTTCTTTAAGAGACCCCACAAAAACTGTTCAAGCTTGTGAGACCAAAGAAAGACCTGTGAAAACCTCTGCCCACTGAAAAGACTGCTCAGCTGAGACATGCAGACCTTTGGCATTTTCTTTTCCGATGTTGCATGACTGGTACTTGAATATGTGTGTCCCAAGCCTTTTTTCTTTCTCTCCTTACATCTCGCTGTTTTGTTGATAGCACTGAACTATAGTGTCCCTCAAATAAAATCAAGCAAATGCATTTTTTAATGAACAAATTATCTGTAACACAGCATATTCCTTCATATTGAAAGGAAAACAGAGATGGAGAAAGAAAAGGCATGAGTAAGACCAAGATGTTCAATGGTTACCAATAGTATTCCTCAATATGGAGTGAAGAAATCACTAAATAGATGGGATAAGCATATTTCCTTTGTCAACACACCCAACATCTGTTGCACTGCTAAAACACAGACTCTTTCCAAGCGCAGAGTCCTGACAGAAGAGGAGACTGAGAAAATAGCAAAGGAAGAGCAGCTGTGAGGTTTCCAACATAGCTGCAATTTGTTCCGGATGCCCATAGCAAAAGAACCTCAACTTTTGGCAGTAACCAGCCTGAACATGTTTTCTTCAATTTTCTCTGATGTGACATGACAGATTAATGGAAGGCAGCACAACCACACACACCAAATCACCCTGAGATTGCCTAAGATGCATTAATACCCATCGAACTGAGTGCACAAGTATTTCATCTTTTTCTTCCTACAGTGACTCCAAGCTTTACTTTGCCATAGTGTGAGGGCAGGTTCCTGGCCCGAGGCTTGGATCGGTGAGATGCTGAATGCTCAGTGACAGCTGCTAATGGATGCAGGAAATAGCCCTTTGCATCAGATCAATGAATCATCTCACCCCATTTTCTGCCTGCAGAGTCCAGAGGATGCTATCAGTGGTTACCTGGAATGGTCACTAACAAATACTCTGACCAGCATGGAAGATTCTGTTTGAATTTTCATGTTGGGATTGACACACAACCCATTACATGGGAAATTCCTCTAATGTTCTCTTCAATTGGGGTGGACGTTATTACAGAGCATTTTTTTTGGCTGGTTTGTCTTACTGGAATTCTTCATTTTAGAGCACTTGCAACCTCTCCCCTTTCATTCTAGACATATCTCTTGACTCATGCTGTCTATGGTTCTGCTGTGGTTCCTTATCTTGCCTCCATGCTGAAAGAACATTTGAATTTTCTCTCACTACTCAGTTTGTTACTATCCCATGGCCTAAGTCTGTACTAGCAATTTTGCTCTTTAAAGGACAAAATCAAGCAGATAGTCCTCATTCAAGCAACTAATCCCAGTGAGAAAACAGGCACTGCTATACCTATAAAGCTTTGGAAGACATGCTTCTGAAGGCATGATACCTTTTAGAATTCAGCATATAAATCAAAGTTTGCCAGAAGGACAGATTTCTTTTGAACCTCAGGTGGACAGGAAGAAGTGGCACTTTAGTGTGTCTCTATTTACAGCCACCATGACAGTTCATATGTGCAGTGATAAAAATAACCATAAACCTACCTAATCATTACAGTAAGGCAAACAACTCCTCTCTGTATCATCATACACAGGTACTGGAGCTGCTAATAAACCAGAAAGAGCACTGAGGCACCGGAGGAGCATCTTTCCTATCTCCACAGTTTCTTAAACAACTTCAGAGGCAGATTTTTATTAAGTATATGCAAGGCAGATGATCTTAAACCTCAAAAAGAGTCTGTATAATAATCGTGTGTTCTTCTAATGCTCTCCAAAGACCTATTCAGAGTCCATTCTGAAAGACAATAATATATCAAGAACTTCTGCAAACTTCCTCCTAATGAACACATGCCAATTTGAGACCAAGAATTCTGGTCTCGGAGGACAAAATAACCACTGCACTTAGTCTCTGGGTGTTTTGCTACTTTATTTCAGAGTGATTCAAAATCTAATTAAATTTCTAAACTCTAATGAAATTACAGAAGAAAAATCATTTAGGATTATATTATATACAATTACTCACAGCTGAAAATTACAGTTAGCCCCTTTCACCAGGATATTGTCTCTGGAGAAATCCTTGTTATTCATATAACATATAAATCTGACACTGCTCTCACTAATTACAGGTCGAAGGTAAAAGTAGAATTAATTAAACATATATATCCCGCCCAGTAGCCAGATGGTGGGTAGTGGAAGGAATGATGATAATGATGACTGTGCTCGAAACTACATTTCACACTTTGGTCAAGAATCAGAATAAAACCCTGCTATAAAGTAGGAGTTTACAAAGCTTGACTTATGCTGATGAAGTGCTCTTCCTCATCGATGGTATGCTATGAACGAGCATAGCGAAGCATCCATAGGCAACAGTGCACAGTTGGCTAGCTGGGCAGCCTCAAGCGTTTTGGAAAGAGAGAATAACAGAATAAATCAAGGAGTTTTAGAGAGTTCAGCCAAACACTGAGATATTTAAATATTTAGTTGCTTCTCTAGATCATGAGAATCCTGCGAGGCCACAGAGTTGGAAAACAGAAAAACAAACAAACAAAAAAAAAGGGAAACAAGAGTTTACATTCATGTCATTATTTCCATCAGAGATTCTCAGGAACCTTGAACACTGAGTTCATTCGCTTATGAATCACAGGAGATACGAAAGCACTAGGGTTTCTTACAGAAAGCCTAATATCTTTCCCCACAGCTGGTCCAGAGATACTGGGGGAAGTGGAGGCATTCTCATACCTGATATTGGAACAGTGAAAGAACAGCAACAAAATCTACATTATATTAACAAATTATATATTATATATAAAATATATATACATAAAATAGGTCAAAGCAAAGATTTGTCACATCTAGCATATTCCATTAGTTCTACCTGTGTTCCATATAACAAAATAATCCTGGAATTAAGGTCACCTTGGAGATTGACGGGTCTTTATTTGTATTTTGCTGTTCCAAGAACCTTACTTGCAGGACAACATTTGTTTTGCTTATTCCTCAAAAATAAATAAATAAAAGGATATAAGGGTGTTTTCAGTCAGAGCTCATCAGAGCAACTAAACTTTTGTGATCAGTAGCCATCTTCAAGTGTAAATGGCCTTATACAATGGCAGTCTACAATGCTCCCATTTAAAATAGACTTCTGGAAGGATGACTTTCAGCTATAATTTCCTCAACAAGACATGTTTCATCCAATCTTAACAGGCAAGATTCTTTGGAGACCAGATTGCCCATACATGCCCTTACCAGCAGGAGGACAAAGAAGTACTCAGGAGTTTTTTTCCTCATAAAACTTCTCCTTCAGAATGTGTATAAGACTATTTTGACTGAACTTTCACCTACATGATGATACAAGGCAGCAAACAGCTCTTTAAAGGAGAAAGGCACATCAAGAGACAACTGGTAAATGTGAAACAGGGTCTCTGCAGAGGCCTTTATGGCATAAGCGGGGCTCATGTTCTTAAGTTGACCATCCTTGATGGATGGACCTGAAATGATTTGTAAGGAAGGGTTTCACTTAGGAAGAAGCATTAATATTTATTTATATGTTTTGCTTTTCATTTGGAACAGCTGAATTTAAAGTATGAATTTTATTAAAGAACAGGAAAAGCTGTTTTTCACTGTGATTCAAATGATTCAAACAATAACCCTGACTTACCAGAAGGCATCACTTGCCAGTAAGGTCCTGCCTTTTTTTTTTTTAAAAAAAAAAAAAACTCCTTAAAAAAAAGAAAAAAGCCCCTCCTAAGTCTGAGAATTTATCCAAGGTAGAAGTTGGAAAACATGGCTTTTTTCCCCCCCAAGGACTGGCTTGCAATAGTTTTGCAGTCCATGGTGAGTTTCTTCCCATGTCTTCCTGAAATGACTAGTAGGGATAAGGAAGTGTTCAGCCAAGTACCCCTCCTTGGAGTTCAGACACATCTCTGGAGATAACAGGAGACTTCTTCAGAGACCAATTCACTACAGTAGGACTTTATCAGCTTTGTAAAAATAAATATTAGCATTTAAAATTATATATTAAAAAAGTAGTTAAATGACTGACTGTTGACTGTCCATCTCCATAGAACACTTTCAAGCAGGGAGTTTATTTCTACATAGAACTTAAACCCAAAAAAGGAACTTCTGTTTGCAAGGCTGTTCAGGATGTGACTGTTGTTTCCTAATATAGCCACGTGACCCGGCTTTTTTTTTTTTTTTTTAAAAAAAAAAGACACTGCAAAAGAGCTAAAACCAGAGAATTTCTGTGAAATCACTCCATTGCCAAAACCTCAAAATGATCTTTCTAACAAGCTGGATATCACTCCTAACAACATTTCTTCTTCTCTTACGTAAGTGATCTATTTTATTACTTTTCCATCCATTTAGAGGACTTATTTTTCACTCTTTGAGACTAGTGAAATTATTTCTCAGCCGGATTGCATTTATGTTGTTTTAAACTATTTAGAGCACTTGGCCTTGGAAGAGAAACATTTGTTGAGGCTGTATGATACTCTGCTGAGCTTTCTAGCCACTATTTCCTAGCTGTGGTGCTAAAAGATCAGCTCTGTGCAATCCAAAAGATGCTATGAAATTAAATTTATGCACCCTTACTAGTGAAGGCTGCTGAGCATCCTCTTTGGCACCATGTAGGAAATACTGCTTTGGTATAAGGAAAACGTTGGTCTGCGTGCATGCTGCCTGCAAGTTATTTTGGTCACCATGACTCTAACCTAGATACTCTTGACTCAGGCTGCTTCTGATGCTTCCTGCCAGCCCAAAGCAGGGCTCTCACCTGCACAGCTCAACTCTTACTTCATGGTTACTCACCCCCAGTTTGTGCAGGGAATGAGTGGGGGTCATGGGTAGCAAAGGGCCAGTAGGAATCATATTAAGAGGATAACAAAGGAGAGAACAGATGGGACAGCAGATAGAAAACACAGTAGGGCACCTTTATAACCACGGTCTCCGAGAGGTTCGGCAATGGGGCAGGCACCCTCTGGTGGCAAGAGCCTAATGGTCACCAAAAGGACAACTCCCATGCCAGCCTACTTTGTGCAAAAAATATCATAGAAAATCCTCATTTATTTGGGAGGAATTGCACAAGTGAAGCGTGCACCACCTGAGGCAGGTAGACCAGCTGCTCTAGCTTTCATCTATTAGATATTGGCTCCTGTCTTGGATTCTGAAAGCTGAGCTCTCTGCAGGTCTACGGCAAAGCATCTTCCTTGTCCTTCTCAAAGGCAGCAGGGTAAAAGAACCCTAACAGGTCCTTGTCTTCCCTTTCACAGTGTATTTATTTGTCCCTCTCCTTCTGTTAATATGTCAAGAGCTCTGCACCTTTCCAAAGGCACTTCCAACAGCCCAGGGGAGCGGGGGCTGTTCCCTATCCAGGGGAGGGGCATGGGTAACCAGCTTCAGTTATTACAGATGTGAAGAGAAAGTCAATAATTGCACCCTAAGTCCTGCACAAAAAAATGTGTACAAATTGCACAGAAAAAAAGAATGGCAGAAGTCCTATTAATGCAATAGCATTGCTCAGAGCAAACAGAGGGATGTAAACTCAAGAGCAGCCAAGTATGCCCTATAGCACAGGCATTTGCAAAGAAAACAAACAAACTGCATTAAGATACCCTGTATCACATCAAAAGGTGCAAGGCTGCATCTGTGGTCTTTTGATAGGGGGAGTCAATAGAGTTGAACAAATTCCTATCTCCATGTGCCAGTGACTCCCATACTCATACATGACTACTTCCAAAAACAAAACAAAAAACCTTAGCCTTTAATTTGATGACTAGGGATCTCATTTACCTGGATCCTAACATTGCCCATCTTACAAACCCTATGAGTAGCGGGGGATTTTGCTGCAAAATACTTTTTCTTCTTCTAATGACAGCTTTCAGGAATGGTTTCCAACACAATAATTTCCTCTAACCTCTGTATTGTCATTAGCACTCCATATTTGTCTCTGGAGTTGCTCAAATACTCATTGCCAACCATCTTCTTTCTTCCACCTTGCCTCTGGGCTTCCCAGATATTTGCTTCTTTCCCCCATCTACTCATTTGCTGTCCCCAAGACAAGCAGCACAGAACCCCTGGCTACCACAGTGCCCTAAGACTTCCCATAGCCTGCTGTAATAGGAAGGCAAATGGAAAAGTCTGAGAAAATAAAGGAGAAAAAATATTTTTAAACATACATATATTTCATATGGATATAAGTACCAGAAGTAGAGGGCAGAAGAAGAAAAGGGACTAAGGTAGCTGCTGAGCACTGAGAAATACAAGGCACATTTGTTACTGCTTATCTCTGCAGGTTAGAACTAGAAATCACAACACTTATTAAACAAGATAGGGAAAATGAGCTATTCCTGCTTCCCTCAGAGCACAGCCTATGCTCCAGCCCCATAGGGCATTTCTCATTGTCTTGACTCCAAGGACAGGACCCCGCATTAACAAACTTACACAGCACAAGCAGAGCAGGACAGCCCTTGGTTCTCGGTGCAGGGCACTGAACAATTTCTGCATAACTCCTCTCTGCACACAGAGGGCCTGAGCAGGACCAGGGCTGCAGAAACTCCCAGAAGCTACAGACCCAAAACTCCCAGGTCAGTCACAGCCCAGTGTATTTATACACCTGTCGATCACCCACTCAGCAGCTCTACTGGCAGAGGATTGTGGTGGGCCCAGAGGAGCAAGTGCTTCCTCAGCTGCACCCAATGTACCTGACAACGCCTCATTCCTCAGGCATGCTGTCAGGGAAAATTTGCATTTACCTCTTCCCTGTCTCTTGCTGACTCTGATGCCGAGTCACTCAAATGCCAAAACTGAATTAACGTGCAAAATTTTTTGACCCAGGGGCAAATATTCTCCAAATTCAGAGATTTTATTTAGGAGAAAAAGATATTTTTTGTAATGGGGATGGGAGTACTACAAAATATTACCCTCCTTTCTAATGGCTCTGTGCTGTGTTGCTTCTGTATCTTCCCATGAGATTTGAACTGAAGATCTTGTCCAGATTAAATAGTGACATGCGTGTCCTGTCTTTAACCGTCTCCATCCACTTCATTCCACTTAAGGAGAAACCAAAGCTGGCTCTCACTGAGTCCTCAGAAGCAATTGGTACTTGAGCAACATCCAGTAAATGATATTAAACCTTAATTAAAACTATATTGAAACTATGAACTGAAAACATTCTCTAATCCTGTGGGTTTCCAGAGATTTTCTTCCCTTCGTTTTTAAAAAAGAAACTAATAATTAAATCCCAATATATTAAATCGACCTACATAAAATATTCCACCTCAAATATTATTTCTGCCATAAAACACATAATCTGTCACTGGTTTAATTCCATTAGAAGGCATACATTAAGGTCTATGCATTATGATCATTAAACTAATAAAAGTAAAATAATATCACTTTTATTATGTTTGAATTTGAAACATTCTTCATATGAACACAAAGAATAATTGTGGAAGAAAGAGTTTTTTTAAAATTATAATGAAATAAATTCATAGGCAATAGTGGTAGCTAAGAAACCAATTTTTAATCTGGCAAATCAGGAGCTATGCTTCTACTGTGTAGTCTTAGACTTTTTTATTATTATTTCCTTTTCTTTTAACTTTGATTTTGATTACACAGAGTAGTCAGCTCTTGGGATCATATCTGTGATTGGATTTCCCTCCCTCATGCTTCAGATTCCCATCTCTGAGTGTCATGTGATGAAGTACATTTCAGCTTGTATAAAATAGGTTTTCAGGCATTCTGATTATGAAGGGAGACTGGAAGGATTTTTTTTTTTAACTTAGAAATATTCCTCCCAAAATGTATTTGATTTAAAATTCATTATTTTCTTAAACTAGTGTCCAGATTTTTGGAGCTTGGCTCATAATCTATGAAAAATTGGGATTGGAAATATGACAAATGCCAGGAAATGAAAAGAAATCTGTCTGAGACAGAGGCGTGGATGTGGAAATTATTTCATTGTTGTCAGCCCAGCAGTCAGAGCGGGAAAAAACTTCATATTCTGCCCCAAGCATATGCAGGAGACAGAAATTTTGTAGCTTACTGTTTTAGAAAGCAGGGCCTATTCCTGCATTTGAAGTTGTCTCATTCTCCATACAGCTGATGTAGCTACATGAGCTACATCATATGGAGCTAAATGAATCCTAACCGGCTGCACCATTTCCATTTCAGATTTTTGGAGAGCAAAGGTCTGTGCCTCTGGAAATTCAGAGGAGGAAATAGGTGAGTTCATGGTGAGATATTCACTTCTAAACAGGAAGAGACATTGGATTCAAAGAAAATATAACAAAAATGATTGTACTGAGAATGTACTTTCATGTATAGAAGAGCATTTGTCCATTGTATGCTTGTACTTTGTCAAGAGCAGCAGAGTACTGCCCTGTAAGGAGGGCCTTTTGAATAAATGTAATGAGCATAGGGATGGCAGATGGGTCTTGAACAGAAGCACCCTTCAGTCTGACAGCTGAAAGCAGACCCTGGGTTGCACGCAGTGATGCATAAACACAACATAGTTTATTATCAACACTTAAAAAATCATCTGTTTTATGCTAGCAAAGGCTTAAGGGCTTAAAGGCTTAAGGGTGGACAGGCGTACTAGTCAGGCAGGGCAGGATGCTGAGGACTGAGCTATGAAGTTCAAGTTGTGCATGTGTGGGCCTGGGGAAGCGGGACTCGCCGTTTGAGAAGGCAGAGAGTGGCAAGGGAGTGGGGATGGTGCAGTCCATTTGGGAGAACTGAAACTCAGCTGAGGCCTGTAGGCCCTAAGGCCTAACCTTGCTAAGCATGAACTTCAAACTGTATGAAGTCCCACAGCCACAGGATGTGGCAGTTTCCTGATGTGCAGGGGCTGAGAGACTGAGGCAGTTTGTGAGGCTTCTCAGGCATCCAGGCAGGCTCCGTGTTAACAGCCCTTGTGAAGAACAGATATGACCTTTTTTTTTTTTTTTTAACAACAACAACAACAAAAAGGGGGGCAGGAGGGGCAGAATCCATTTGAACTTTGAACTTTGGAATCTTGGGCTTATGACACCTGGAATCCAAGCAGCTGTATTTACTATTTAATGGTGTATATTCACTTGCTTGTTTTCAATTTTTTTCAGATTTTACATATGTTATCATAGGAGTTACTCTGGGAGCCTTTCTATCGATTGCTTTTGTAGCAGTAATAATCTGTATGATCAGAAAACAAATGCTTGACAATGTCTTTGGAGGTAAGAAAAACATTTTCCTGATATCTGATCCAGAGATCTTATCCTCCTCGTGTTCTGATACAGCAGATCTGAGCTTCACTGCTAGGAAATTTGTATGTGCTACAACTCCAGTTTTCATATGGAGAACTGTTTTAAAAGCATCTGAAGAACTGGAGTCCCTGGAACTGCAGATTCAAATATTAATATAATCAGCTCAGTTTTCAGCCAATAGAATTCACTTCAGCTTACTTAAGCCTGGGTATCCTTCTGAGTAGTTCTTTCTTAAAACAATTTTCTATTTATTCTATATTCTATAAATTAAGGATCCTATTTACTTTCAGGATGGATTGGGGGGTTGTTCACACTTCATGGTCCAAATTACTATTTCTTTCACAGATCTGGGCTTTCCCTTCAAATGTGACTGTGTGACTTCAGGGTACAGTACTTTAATGAAGTTTCCGTCAGGATACACAGTGAAACTCCCTGTAACTTTTTAGTTGTGATTAGGTTTTCAGAGGAAAGCGTGTTTGATTGTTTGTTGTGAATTTAAAGCAGACACAAGCTCTTTGGTCTAATACCAGAACTGGTGAGAGCAACATCTCCCTTTACCTCTGCACTACGTGCTTACAACGGACAGTTCAAGATTCGAACCCCAAATCTTAAACTGAAACTGAAATATACCCTTCATTTTGGTATACAGGAGTTAGTGAGAGGCAGAATTTGTCCCAGGGACCTCCCCAGAGGCACCATTATTCAATGGCCCTACCTCTTCAGCATAGAACTCCCATCTGGCAGGACTGCAATGCATTACAAAACACTCTAAAGCAAATCCTTGGTGGTTTCTTCCACTGCTGAAATACAACTGTTCTCTGTGGAATGAGGTAACACGGTAAGAGCCAACAGCAGTCAAAAGCAAGAAATAAAAAGCATCCCAAATACAATAGCATCTGATAAGCGTACATGAGGATAGAGTACTAACCCTAACTGAGGCTTGAACACAACAGCAGGATAAACTGTTCCTTTTGCAAGAAGTCCTGGGATCTTTACTGAAATCAAATCCTTGCAACCTGTCTTTTGATTTTTGAGAGAGGTCTGTACTTTTGATAGCACATGAAAATTTGGATGAAAAGCAAATAATAGAATAAAACGGAGCTGCAAGGCAATGTAATTGTGAGGGGAAATTATGCCTACTGAAAGAAAAGGGACCTATAATAGAGTTAGGGGACCAAAAGCATTACTCTCTGTATGGCATTTCCATGGTGAATTTGAAAAAGCTGCCTTTCAGCTCCAGTTGCATACGAAGTGCCAATTCTATGCAATCTGCCTCTATAAAAAAAAAGAAAACGAATTCTCGTAAGTGTAGTCAGTTTTCACCACAAAAACAAAACAACAGAAATTAAACAAGGAAAATGGATGGAGGGAACCATGAGGACAGGAAATGACAACATAGGATTAGGAATGCTTGGCCATCCTCTGTATCTATACACAATTGCTTCTATGACTAGATCTGGATTAATCTTCACATGACAAATGATAGGTGATTTCCCAGCACGCCAGAACTGTCTAACCCTATTCATTCAGCGAAGCACTGTGACACACACCTTCAACAGCAGGCACAGAGTTTTGCTCCGTAAAATGGCCTTGACCATTAAGCTTGGTGTGGATTAGACTGTCTGAGCTCACCTGGTCCAGTACTGGAATGCAGGTCTTTTAAAAGATGATTTTGCAACTTGGACTCCCCAGGTACTTCATGGGGACATCAGTGACAATGTAACACTGCTTTCTGTAAGATGAGTGGCTGTTGCTTCCCTTATTGGCACTGCACCGCAGTGCTAATGGGAGTGATTCTCATTAAGCATCTGTCCTCATAGCTTTTCCTCATGACAGTCTGGGGATGTACCACGCTCTATCCCTAAATAGCCAAAATATCAGCAAAGTTACAGTCTTGAAAATATTGATATCAGATACTCCAGCTGAAAGAATTAAGAAGGGCTTATGGGAAGGTTGCATGGCACCACTAATATCAGAGTTTGATCTCACAAAGGATGGCTAGATCTCTATCCACCTTACCTACTCTAACTTCTGGTTTCACCCCCACAGCTTCTGATCAGACTTATCACCAGCCTGTTCCTGGTGTCTTAACTAACCACATTTTCTTATTCTCTCTTTAGAGTCAGATGGCAAAATGGATAGAAGGTAAGGCTCCTTGCTCGGGGTTTTCCAAGGTGTAGTTGAACGTACAAACCGTAATGTTTAATTGCTTTCTGTCTTTATGGATAACGCTTACCCAGTACTATATAACAGAGGATTTTGACATGTCAGAATCAAGAAAGAAATCTCAGCTGATGTTTTGGTTTGTGTTACCTATTGTAATAACAAGCTCGAAAGGAAAAAAAAAAAAAGGCATTTTTGAGGGCTGCAAGCCAAAGGCCTTGTTTCAAAGATGCTGAGTTGGTTTTTCACACTGTGACTAGATCACAGTTCTGGGAATTGCCTTCAACCCACCTTACAGAGCAAGGCTATGCAGCAGTCATTGCTACTGAAAGGGATGCATTTTCACCCTTCACCTTTCTCCCTCCCATGCCCAGCAAGGTGTGAGCCTCATCCCCAGGCCCAAGAGGCAGTGCTGGACTGCCTAGGCAATCACCAGTCCTCGTCTCCTCTGAGAAGCAGGCAGTAGGGTGGACATGTACAGAGGAGTCTGCAAGGTGTCCTTAGGATCATAGTAATCCACAGGTATAAATACGATTTGCTTCCCTGTAAGACATTTTATAAATGAGAAAAAAATGCATGAATTAATCAGCACTCATGAACTGTGTGCAACAGCTGTACCCAGTGACCTGAAAAAAAAGGCTCTTGGCCTCTCTGAGGGAGGTAGATAGAAGCACTAATGGGCTTGTCCCTATCAGGGTCATTTTTCATAGAGGCTAAACAACATATGTAAATACTCAGTTGAAGATCAAAACAAGAGCTCTCTTTATAGCAAGCATTTCAGTGTTTTGCCTAACAGGGAAGGGCCTTAGCCATGGAGCATCTGTCATTTTCCCAGGGAGACTGTTCCACAGCCTAACACAGCTAACTCACAAAATGTTGCCTTTTTATTAACACATTTTGTTCAGTCTGCTCTAACAAAACACTCAGATTTTCTTATCAACCTAAAATAAATTAGGACTTACACGTGGCCAGGAGAAAAAAAAAAAAAAGATATATTCATACAATGTCCAGTAAGCTGTTTTGATATATTGGGGAGAATATAGACACAGAAAGGAACAATGACTACAATCAAAGACTAAAACAGAAAACTCAAGAGATTAGAGTCCAGAGGGAAAAGGTCATAAAGAGAATAAAGGGACAAAGACAAGAAGATATATACAAGAAGATGTATTTACCATCCAAGCTTACTGCTTGTATTTCATCCAAGCTTACTGGTATGATCTATAAAACTGCCCCATATTGGACTTTGTCTTTCTACTCCCCATGCTACTGATTATGTGTGATATCTTCCTTGAGAGGCATATTGAGCATCTATCATATAATCTTCTATCTAGAGGAAGTGACCGTATTTGTCGTGGAAGCAAAAATTAACTTCTTTAATGATGTGGTTACATTGACCTTTTTGATGAGTCTATTTTCTAATCTGCAAGCATTTGCTATGAGGTATAGAGAAATCCCCAATTTCATGTGAAAAATCTGGTCTGAAGGCTCAAAACATGACACAAGGCACACAAACTCTCTCACTCAGAACCACCACAGACAAAGGAGAGAAACTAAAGTCCTACAATGTTTTGGGGCAAAATTATGTGTTTTTTTTTCCTTTTTCTTTACTTTGCAAGTGGAAGACAATTTGAAATCCAACATCTCTCTTTAATCCATTGTACTTTTCAATTCTGCTGTGATAGTGAGTAGTTTACTGACAAATCTTTATTCTTTTTTACCTCAAGAGACCTATGTATTATTCCTTGGTGAATCATTAAGGAATACAGATGATAATTTGAGGAAATAACACACCTTTCTATTGATTTTGAGGAAAATTGAAATACTGAGGAGTCTCCTCAAGAACATCCAAGTTGTGTTCATTTTTGTCAGATTTATTCTTCGCCATAGGCCAAGGGAATAGTGGCCCATTTATTGAGGTCACTGGAGAGACAAGTGACAATTAGGTCTGAACTGATTTTAACTACTTGCTTCAATTCCCTGTAGGTTCTAATTCACAGCATTTTAGGGTAATGGCTAGGCCTGGAAAACCCTTTGATGAAACAAAGTCCACCATCTGAAATTACCTGGTCTTATACTTGCACCAGCCAATTATACAGGCAAATAAATCCTTCAGTGATATCTGATAAGCAAGATATCACCTCTTTAGGACCCAAGAGAAGACTCTGCAGACAAACTGCAGACAATTTTCTGCTTAACTAGTGATAGTCATGGTTTGTTCAGAAGAAAAGTTTAGTCCAACTGAAAAAGCACTCACTGAATTCATGTTCAGCCAAATTTTGCTTTAAATTCCTCTCCATAAATCATACAAGTGCCTTGATCCTCCCAATAATTTCTCTCCCTGCCTGGGACATAGGCTGGGTTGGTGTCACCCAGCACAGCGCTATTGCAGTCAGTGGAGTCACACAGGCTTATATCAGTGGAGGGCCTTGATGCAGATAATCTTCATTTATGTTAGAATCCTCATTAGCTGATATCGATCTAACCAGGGTATGATAAGAACATGTTTACACTTAAATCAGGAAGCATTCTGATCAGTCTCCGCCCTGCTAGTTTCCAAAACATTTAAAAGAGAAGTGTTTCTAGCCCAACATGACATTGGCAGCTCACTGTAATTAACAGCATTTACCACTTTATTTACTCAGATCTATAGCCTTATGATTTAAACAATCAATTCATAATGGGATACCCTTAAACTCAATGGGGTATTTACTAATACTCAAGAAGAGCAAGAGGTTTGAGGCAGGCTGCTGTCGGCTAACAAAACAGTAATTTAGATGTCAACTGACAATTATTTAATGTCCTTTTTTTAATTAATAGCTCATGTCAGTCTCAAATGCCATCTTGGTGTAAGCTTGCTAAATTACAATGCCTAAATTTCATGCAAGTTTAATGTATTAATAAAAATGTCTGGGCACATTTAATGTTAGCAATATTTTGAGTTAACTACAGTGCATGGCAGCCAGATTTATTTTGACAGAAGGAGACAAAGAAAGAGGCATGCAGGGACAAGGAGAAGGACGGAGAGACAGGGACACAGAAGTTTACTAAAGAGGAGGTACAAATTAAACCTGCCGCAGTAGCAGAAAGGTATTTGTTGCCTGAAAGCAACCCGAGTAGCAACAAATACCAAAACTGCCCATGCAACTCGCTGGGTTCCATAGTCACCCTTGTAAGTCACTCGGCATGAGATCAGTTTTAATGAAATGCACAAGTCATTTTGCTATCTGAAGGAGGAGAGAAGGACATTGGGAGTTGCATAGCCCAGGTGCCAAGCATATCAATGATTTGCTTTTGCTAGCCAGAGTAGCATCTAAATATGCTCTTGTGTTTTTCCATTAGACTTCCTCCAAGGGACTGACTTCTCTTTCTTTTGCTAGACTATGTTGGGGAAACACATGGTGCTCTCGTGAGTCAAGAGTCCCTTTAGACAAACAGAGGAAGCCTTGAACTAAGCTCAGTGCAGCTTTTAGGCTGTTTTCTGCGTGCAATCACAACTGCTTAGCTGCACGTCACAGGCCTTGCACTGTTCTTGGCTAATGCAGAACTTCCCTTGGGTTGGAGCAGGCTGTGCCTTTTAACTTGAAAAGCCCTATTTTTTCCCTCATTCTGACCGTGGAATAGATATATGCATTCCAGGCATAAGCAATGAACTGATGTTGTAACACCAATTTTTTGTAACCAAGGGTAATATCAGAGGGTAAGTTATAGCCTGTAGCATACTTCTTAAATTACTATAATTGAAAGCAGTTTCCATGGAAGGTAACTCTCCTTTCTTCCTATGCCCCTATAAAACAGGCACAAGAGATCATTCCTGGGAAAAATTATATAGTGCTGCACGTGATGTCCTGGTGAATCCCCATGTGTGCAGGGGCTCACCACAGCTCCCAGGAACATGCAGTGGACTCTGGTGTGCTGCCTACAACCAATTGCATCTCCAGCATAGGAGTATTTCCCTGGGACACCAGGTCCAGAGCAGCACCCTTCATTTTAGCCAGCTCAGTTCATGAGATCTGAGTTAATCAGGAGCATTTCAGGTTGGCCACTTCTGCAGGTGGTGCATACAGTGACGGGCCTGCCATTCTCTCCCCGAGCCTCCCCATTTAATGGCAGTGAGTGACACCTGCAGAGTGCAACAACCACTCTGCACAAATAGAGTGAGACGCTCAGGACGCCAGCAAACTGCAAAGGGCCTTCAGCTGAACTTAGCGTGGAAACCCATGTGAAACGATAACCTTTGAGGCTGAGACAGACTTCCAAGTCACAGCTCATTTCTTCCATCTAACCTCCCCCTCAAAAGCCAAGGAGAAACAGTCATCCCATCCTGAAAGCCTCCAGTCTCCACGTTGTCTAACTCTAAAAATATCTCTATGGATTAAATAGGAGGTGAAATCATCCACTTGGAAAATATAAACATCAGAGATGGATGACACTGCAAAGGCTAGGTTCGGACTAACAAGCACAAGTTTCAGCATTGAGCTAGAGCTCCTTCCAAGCAGCAGAGCTGTCTCAGCCTTCGTATAGGAGCCTAGAACCTTTTTGCTAGCATTTGGCCATGCCTGGGCCTATACCCAGCTGTACTGACAGGTAGAGACAGTGGATGTAAAGGATCTGATCTAATTATTTCAGAGACTTCAACATGGTTTAGTGTGAAATTGAAATAATATACTCCTATTTTGGAGAGGAAAATAGTTCTCAGTTTTGTTTTGCTCTACATAACCCAAACTGGTCCCTAGTGCAGCTACCAAACAGGAAGCCAATCAAGTAGACAGATATAAGTCATATCATTGATATTATCAGCTACAAATGAGAGGTATAGCTTTTTTAATCACTGGAGTTTCAACTTACAAATAAGTTTAAGGGGTGACCTAGTTTTGATATTGGAGAGGAGTCCTTTTGAAACTGGGCCCAATATTCACAAATTCAAATTCTTTAAATAAAATAGACTTTGTCCTTAGCTGAATGTGGCACGGGAAGAACAATGCAAAAGGGAAAAGGATTAGGATTTACAATGCAGACTGCACAGGATGCAGGGCTTTAAAATGCAGCGCATTGACTCAGATAAACTATTCATATGAAACATTATATGTTCCCTCTCCACCCAGTGATGGATACTATCTCAGCCACTCTACTCTCCACTGAAATTATATCTGCTTAAGATGCAAACACATAATGCCACTGTACTACAGGCAAATTCACAGGCAAAAGTATTTGAAATACCAGGATACCAAAAAATACATGTGCAAAGGAAATCTCTTTTTGCCAATTTCTAAACAGAGAAACTTCTTCTCCAGAGAAGATTTTTGTACAAAAGGAGTAGGAATCAGTGACTGGTAGTGGTAGTTCTAACCCAAGCTCTTCTGGACTCATGGGACAGGCCCAACTTGACCTCAGTGCTGCTGTTCCTCCTGCAAGGAGCTGTGACCAGGCCAAAGCAGCCTTCTCACACACCTTCCTAAAGCACCTGATAACATGAGAAGTGAAGCATCAAAGGAAAAAGGATTAGCAGTGATCTACAGGCATGCCTTTCCTATTTGAAGGTTTAGCAATCCACAACAATCCAGGCAGGTGGAACTTCCACAGGGCCACTGAGTGCATCTGTCTTTGTTTTCCTAAAGCAAACTTTTCTTTTTCTCCTCTCCCAGGAATATCTTTCTAAAAAACTCCAGTAGAGTTTTTTTTTTTTCCTAGAATCTGGAGAAAATCAGCCATTAGATTCACCAGAATCTTTGATACATCTGGTGCCCCTCAGATATATTTTGAATGATTTATCATGACTTTTTATTTTACTTTACATCTTTCTCCCAGCACCTTTTCACCAGGTCTTTCATTCCTCAACTAATACATTATACAAACACCCCAATCGACACACTTTTCCTAACTTATGGGTTTACAAGAAAGGGAGAGCAAAGCTGACAAAGACAGTCCCTACAATCTAAATAAGCAATGCAGAGAAGGCTTCTGCTTTGCCAAACCAAACAAAACGTTTCCTCAGTGGCTAGTTTTGACTGCAAAGCTTCCTCTCTCCTTGTCACCATGACCAAACATGAGAAAGAAACAGCTATGGTGAGAGCGGAAGCGCAAGATAACTTGGAGAACACATAGGCAGAAGCATCCAAGTTTGCACCTCACTAAGGAGCAGGTACCAGGTACCATCTGTGTGAGATGATTCCAGTCCTGATGGTTCACTGGAGTAGGCCTGATTCCTGGCTGAACACTCGAGGCTTTGGTGGGTGGTTGACTATCACTGCAGGCATGATTTAGTAATACACCTAAGGAATGTGTATATACACCATAGGTAGATAGGTATATAATAGGTTTTCTCAGGATGCATCCTGGGAACTGAATGCAATGAAAAATCTTTAAAAGCTACCCAAATGCCACGATAATGCATGTCATTGCCAGTAAACATATGTATGAACAAGCAGCGATGGCCTAAAGGACTTCACTTGCATTTGTGTAAATATAGAAAAATGAGCATATGTCCCCAGAAATAGCTGGCTCAACTTCTTGCACAGATACTTTTGCAAAAACGAAGTGTAAATAGCTATTCTATGTAGAGGCAATAACCACCTATAAATAGAGCAGTAAACTGGATTTCCTACCTGGGTCTGTCACTGCCCTGCCTAGTGGAACTTGTTCTTCTGCCAAATCTTCAACATGTTACTATGTCCAGGTTAGCGTTTTTGTAAAATGAAATTAATCTTTATATCACATAGAAACAAAGACATTAAGCTTTGCGCCATGTTGGGGACACAGGGCTTTAAAAAGCAGCAGTAAGCCAATATGTGGGCATCTCCAGGCCTCAGTTTCTCTTAGCACTATTCCTGCATGGAATGAAAAGCTGACATACGCACGGCCAGCTTTATATACATGCATCTATATACTGGCTGGATTGCTAGTGATTCATTATACCCTTTCCAGGATACAGCATGCTTCACTCATGCTAGCTACCAGCCTGAAGGGCAGAGCCACTCTTCTAGCTATTTTTGCTCCTGCCTGGCTGCTCTCCACATGCTCTGGGAAAGCATCTGGCCCAGGATTCCTCTGCTCTCTGGAGAGCTGGGGCTGCCTTTGCAGTTGACCTTTTCACAGCTGTCAAATGCAGAGGAATCCTTATTCCTTCCTACTCCTCTGCACAACTGCTTGAGGCTAGTCTTGAATAGCTCTAAATCATTTGATTGTGAGAGTTGGTCCAGAACTGCTGAGTCAGGGGAATGCATTCGTCCCAATACCCAGACACCTGTTGCAGGCAATTCCTTCCAGAGCCATCTGCTCCCTGCTGGCCAGCGGGCCGGTGCCACTGATTCCAGCAATAACTGAGTAACTCTACCTTTCCCTGGAGCTACTGCAAAACAGAAATGCTTCTGCTACCCACCCCATTTGCTACTGCCAAGGGACACGCAAGATGATATCGATGCTAGAAGCCACTGAGCAGGTAGCCTCCCACCTCCAAGGCGGACACCTTTGCCATTCAGACCGAGCGGCTTCATGATAACTTGGGGTGATCAGGAGAAAAGAGAGGTGACAACATGGGTTTAACTAGGAATAAAAGTGCTATCATCTCTAAAAGATGAGTAACTTTAAAAAAACAAGGTCTCCCAAAGTGAAAGACTCACACTGCCACAGGTCTTACCTAGAAAAAAAATGCCATCAAATCAGAGCTCCTGCATAGTCCATCTCACAGAATTTCCTACATCCTGTTTGAGTTTCTGAGTAAGTTCACACAAAGCAAATGAAAAAGGGAATCTTTAATTTCAGATTAATTCTGAAGCTTTTTCCAGTGACTTCTCAGAAAGGAGGACTGCTTATAAACCTTCTTTTAAGCTCATGTAAATAGTCTGCTACATCACCGTCTTTCAATTCTAAGATTTATGCTACGAAGGATCTGCACTGGGTATCAGCCAAAAGAAATGAGAAAGTATCACAGAAAGTGATGCTGACTTTTACCCTGTAGACTGAAAAAGCTTGGGGATCACTGAGCTATTTCTGAGGTTTTATAGAAGTTAATAAGCGTAAAAGCTCTCAATATGGGTGTAAGTTGAGTTTAAAGGCACTTCACAGAATCCTGCAGTTTAAAGAAAAAAAATATATAAACAGAAAAAAAAAAGAAAAAAAAGAAAAGCACTGGCTGAAAAGTACTAGGTTGTTTGTTTCTGTCCTGAAAAGAAATCCCTGACACACTGCCAAACCAATTTACTGCAGTCACAGAAATGCTTGTGCTGGCAGAGGAGAAGAGGAGGAGAAGGGTGGGAGCTGGAGAAGAGGAGTTCAACTGCTGTTTTAACTACTACTTTAGTGTCAATGCTGCTTTTAAAGTGTCTGTAAACTAGCATTTTTGGATGAGTTTCCACCCCTGCCTGCAGGAAAGCGAAGTGTGAATGTTCCCAAGGACGGTGCCACCCCCCGGAGCCCGTCCTGTTCTGCCCTGTCCCACCTAGACCTTTCCCCTCTCTCCCAGCCCAGTAGCAGCTCCATGGTCTTGGGAAACGGCTCTGCTTAAAATCTACATGACACAAAGATGATTTATTTTTCAGAGAAATAAGACTATCTGAGCTGTGACTTGCCAGCACAAGGGCAATGGTGACTGCAGATCCTGCCCCAGCACGGGCAGGGACCTTGTCAAGCGAGCATCCTTGAGCCCATGCTGATTCCCTCCTGCTAGCTCCCACTGGCCTCCTTCCTTATTCCAGGCTCATTAGGGAGTGGACTGCATGTGCAGTTCGAACTAGAAAGGTGAGAATCAGGTCTTAGCTGTTTCTTAAGGGCACTAAGGACTAGTGCAGTGAATTTCACACTAACAGAACATTTCAGTATAGTTTTTTTTTTTTTTAACACATGTACCAAAATTTCTCTCAGAAAAGGAAGCAAGGTGAATTACAGGAAACACATCCCTGCTTGCCAGATCTCTGAAGAATTCTCCTTTTAGCAAAGTCATCAGGAAACTTTTTAGCAGTATTGAAGAAAGGGGACTGCGATGAGTACAAATTCACAGTTGAGTCATGAGATCCAAGGATATAAACAGCTGAGGGCTGTAAGGCACAGAAAGGTCTTACTTCCAGGCATTGACACTAGATGGAGTAAAACTGAATAAAAGACTCAAGTGCAGCGAAGAAAAGAAAGGAAGAAAAGTTTCTGTATTTTGCCAGCTCTTAACCCGATGATATTCTGAGTGTTCATTTTTGATTAGTGCTCCTACGGGTGTTGTTAATGTCTCACTCTGTGTGCTTTGCAGGTCCAATATGGGATCCAGTCAGAACAGGTATGTTCCAGAGAAGGCGGGAGTCTGGTTGAGTGGGAAGGTGGAGTGACAGTCAACTCGCACAGTCAGAGCATTTGCAAAGCTTTGTTGACCGGGTAACAGAGAGGGACAAACAGAGAAAACAGAGGCAGCAATAAGGGCTGTGGGGTTACCCGAGCTCCTGCAGTGCCCAGAGGCGCCAACCTGCTGCACCACAGACACTCCACAGGGCCCGAGGCAGGTCCCTGTGGGGCCTTGTCCTCCGCTTCCCGCTGTAAGCCTGCCGTGCCATAACATACAGCCAGGGCAGGTCGCAAGGCGCTCTGCTTCACAGCAGGGCTGTGCTGCCCTGCCACTTGCTGCCCCATATCCGCAGCTGCACCAAGGAGGACCCTCTAGCAGGGTGGATCCAGGAGCTGCTCCCACCGTGTGACAGGGCCGCATCGGGGAGCAGGGGAAAGGGGACGCCTCCTCTATCCGTAACTCTGCTGCGGGATAGAAGGAGCAGCATTTCTCTGCACTGATTACTGAGGTCCTAGATAAAATCTAGGCACCTACATTTTAGACCACTGAAGTTCAATTAAGGCAAATCCCTTCATCTTTCTAAAGTACTGTACAAATTCAATTGACCTTCACAGTCTTCAGAGGAAAGTAGATCAGTCAGTACTGTCACCTGCTGGCTGCTGGAGAAATGAAAACCCAGAGGTGAAACCACACGGCAAAGCCCCACATGGAGGCAGCTTCAAAGAGATGCTCAGGCCACCTGCCTTCCCCTTCTCGCCCTCCACAGTATGAGCAGTCCTCCAAGACCTAAAATGCTCTGCTAGGATGGGCTCCTGTGGGACAGGGAAGAGAGCAGCTGGCGGTTCCCATCACAGCCAGAATTATACTCCTGTCTGTTAGTTCAGCTAGGAAAAATACAGATACAAAGAAACAAACACTGGGGGGGGTGGGGTGGGTGTAAGTGGAAGGAGCTTCATGAATGTATCTACAGTGGCTCCAATAACGATGTGACAATTTTGTAGATTTCCTGGGAGACAGAGAGATAAAAATCACAATTCTGCTTTTACAATGATGCTATAGATCATTGTAGGGTGAAAAAAGGACAGGAATTGCTGTTAACTTGCAAGGCCTTTTTTTTTTTCTTTTTTCTTTTTTTCAGAGATGCCAACGTACCGCAGCAACAAAGTATAAATGATCAATAATCCTTCTGCAGTCAACAGTTACCTGGTGTGAGGATCAATGGCAGCTGCTTGTCCGCAGGCAGGACTCTCCGCAGCATCAATTCCTTTGCTCGCTCTCTAACGGAGAGCCTGGCGGATTGATTACAGGAAGAGTTTACAGGGAATGCCAACCTTCATCATCTGCACACAACAAGCCTGCGGCCCCCAATTCCATGGATACAAACAAAATGTATGAAGAAATGGGACGAGGTCTGCTCATCAACAGGCCCTGTTTGGCCTGAGATAAGCATGCGATTGATTTCTAAAATCAATGAAATCCAGAGTAATCAAAAAACTAGCAATACATTTCAGCAGCAGAATTCACAGCCAAACTCATACTTTGAGTAAGGCAAATAATGAAAGTGACTCAGAAAATCAGTGATCTGAGATCAAGCAAAACAAGATTTCTCAAGCTTTTCAGGAAAATATTTTGTGTTGATCTAAACCATTTGATTCATGCTAGTGACATCTCTTTAGCTTTCGAATTGGCTTTTTTTGTTTGTTTCTTTAACTTCAGGTCATGATACTAATTTCAGTCACTTTAAATGAACTGGGGTCATTTAAAATGAAAAATATCACTTTGCAATAAAGTTTTAATGTTTTGGTTTTAGAACCTTGAAATCAAAACAGCTTTTTATACCCAAAGTATAAAGTTTGCAGACATCTGAAATGAAACATTTCCTCTCAGCACTCTACAAACAAGCTAAGCTGACATTTCCAAAGTCTTTCTATCCTTATTGTTAATATAAAACAATTCACTAAATTCATTCAGAATTTGTGCCTAAATTCAGTCTTCTACCCCTCCATTCTTGGCTTAGCTTAGCGTATTATGCGGACAAGTGGGATGAGTGAGAAGAAGAAAATGAGAGCTTTGTCTCAGAACATTTAAAATAGTTTAAATAATTAGAAATCGATTAAACTCATGCTGATTTGTAAACACACTCCAACTTTTACAAAAAGACTATGGTAGAGCTTTTATATAGGTTATAGTATAGAGTTAGGTTTTTAAAAAATAACTCTATAGATGCAGATTCTTCCTATCCTGTTTGTTCTAAGCCACTTTTGTATTTCAAGACTTCAGCAATTCACATGAATACTTCATTGTAAGAGATGAAAGAAAAGCACCAGTTTTTTATATTTCAGGCCGGGTTTACTTTCAGCTCCTAAAGACAGGGCAGCCCTGTCTGCTGCAGGTGCCTTGGGAGCGCAGGGGCACGACCTCCACACGGAGCAGCCTCTGCTCTTCTCACTGCTCTTCTCAGGAAACCCAGCAGGAACCAGAGGCTTGAAAGACTCAGGCAGATGGCTGGCACATAATTAAATAATGTCACAATATTGTATGGGCATAGCTGCAATACCACACCGTTACAAGACAGCTCCAAAGGGGACATGCTATTTTACTGAATCTCTAGCCAGGTCTGAAGACCACAAACTGTAAATAACTCTAGGCCAAGCTGAGGTCTGTGGGCATTAATCTGTCATCTAGCATCCATTCCCAAACCAACTCATGAGCCAGTTTCTTCAGTTACACTAGTTTCACATCAATATATATATATATTTTCCAGTTCTTTGTCACTGTAATATAGCAGAAGTTAATAAGTTTTTATTTTTTTATTTTTTTAAGTGAATGTTAAACTGAAGTCCAGCCTGGAAGTTGTGTTCCTTATCAAGAAATATGACTTCAAAAACACATGGAAACCCAGGCCCCCACCTCCCCCCTGATGAGCAGCGTTCTGCCTCTGAGCTGCCATCAGCCCCGTACGCTGGAGGCCGAGCTGCTGAGCCCAGCCCGGGGCCGGCGCACTGCCAGATCCCAACAGCAGATATCTCAGGATTTTGTTTTTATGAAGAATAAGTTATTGTACTAACTTGTTAGGGTAGCTGAAAGGATTTTTTTTTCTGAGCTTAGTAAACCAGGTAATTTTCCAAATGTGAAAAGGAAGGTATCTTATTTATTTGGATTGTAATTTTCCATATTTTAGATAGCAAAATGTAAAGTTTATTTTAGAGAAAAGTGATATATTGGAATCATTTGCATGTATTCCCTAGGTGTCTGTTACCCAGTTCTGTAACACTGCAGTTCATTAGCAGCATTTGCTAACAGATAAACTAAAGCTGTAATGTGATTCTTGTAAGTAATTGTGCATGTGTATATTTGTAAGTGAATAAACCATCTTGTAAGGTATCTGTTAATTGATTTCCTTCCCTTAGTACCGTTTTAATTAAGACTTGGAACAGAAGCGAGCATGTGGTCAGGGAGGGAAGCTGTTACCTTCACTTATTTGTGTGAACAAATGTGTCTTTCACACCATTTCAGTACACTACAGGAAATAAAGATGAGAATAAATAAATAAATAAAGGTAAGTTACAAGCAGCAGAGAGGAAAGATCTAGAGAATTAAGGATAATAATATTGATCATGCAAATGCAGTAGGTTGGAAAAGAGATGATGCGTTCCCTAAACCTTTTTCTGCGCACGAGGGCTCCTTGGGTGTGGGAAAAGCATGACCAGACGTGAGAGGCAGCGCAGGGGGCCTGCAGCATCTGCACGGCTCCTTCTGCAGCCGTGGGGAGGTTTGGGCACGCTTGGCAACTGCCAGTGCCTGCGAGGGGCTGGCAGCGACTAGTGCCCCATGGAGCCTAACCCCCGTGTGCTCAGCGGGGCCCAGCCGGGCTCTGCACAGAGCTCAGCCCTCCTGCTGCGGCGCGGCACAGCCCGCGCTGCCAGCCCCACAACTCGCCCTAGCAGCACCCCTTGCAGCAGCAGCTCTTGCCATGGGGCCAAGCCCCACAGCACCAGTTTGGTTATAACTGGCAACGGAAAACTGGATGAAAGGGGGGCATTTTGGAGGTATTCAGTCAAAAGACGTTGTTGGAGGACTCCGCTATCCTCCGGGAGGCTGCAGCCTGGGCACGGCACAGCGAGCACTGGGGACAGCTCTGCGCGCGCCCGCCTGCCTGTGCAACGCCGGCTCCCTCTGCCCAGCCTCCTGCGGTGCGGGGCCCCCTCGGCAAACCGCGACTAACTGCTGGAACCACCCGGCTTTGCTCCGTGCGTGCTCACAGCGGGATAGCCGGGTGAAATCCCACTGGCTGCCATGGGTCTGCGTGCACAGAAAAGCAGGCTGGGGGGAGCAAAGCGCATCCCGCAAATCAGACCTCGCTGATCTAAACCTGCTCAGGGAGGTGTGAGTGACACGAGAGCGTGGTTTGGCTCCTCACAAACAGGATGGTAAATTTCATAATTGTCAAAACAAACATGCTCAGCCTGAATCCTTGGGTTATCTCATGTTCGTAAGTGAAGAGACAACTCACTTTAATCAAGGGCATTATTTTTCATTTTCTTACCACTACACTTAGTCAAATGAGAGAGAAAAAGACCATAAAATGCCTTCACACATCAACGAAAGATGGGAAAGCAAAAGTGAAGGAGGACATACACCTAATAAACTGGTAGTAAAGGGATATTTATACTCATCTACAAAAAGAAATGTAAATGGAGTCTGAAATAAACTAAGGACAAGTAAGTATAACGTCGCGTGATGACATAGCATCTGGCTGAAAATACTGAGTTCCTGCAATTGCAAAACGAACGGGACCGCTGGCGGTGCCAGACCTTTGAGAACTGCGTTCGCTGCACGCATCCATCCACACAGTGGAGACAGAACAGCCAAGCTAGGACGGACAAGAAGCCTATCTGCTCCAACAGCCACACGCCCAGGGGGATGCAGAGGCACCGCCGGTCCGTGCGGATGTGCAGCACGTGGTACATGCTGACACGCGCCCCGAAGGGCCCACTGGCCTCCTGCAGGCTCCTGCCGGCACCCAGCACGGTGCCGAGCTCGCCG